GACCTTTTCAGCCTCCGCAAGAGAAGGTTGAGAGGCGACCTTGTGGCTGCCTATAAGTTCATCACGGGGGCACAGAAGGGAATTGGTGAGTATTTATTCACCAAGGCGCCCCCGGGGGTTACAAGAAATAATGGCCACAAGCTAGCAGAGAGCAGATTTAGACTGGACATTAGGAAGAACTTCTTCACAGTTCGAGTGGCCAGGGTCTGGAACGGGCTCCCAAGGGAGGTGGTGCTCTCCCCTACCCTGGGGGTCTTCAAGAGGAGGTTGGATAAGCATCTAGCTGGGGTCATCTAGACCCAGCACTCTTCCCTGCCTGTGCAGGGGGTCGGACTCGATGATCTATTGAGGTCCCTTCCGACCCTAACATCTATGAATAACTCCACCCTCAAAAACCTGCATAAAGAGGAACCTGACATGCAAGACCTCAATATCCTTTGGGTTGATACAACGGCTGTTAAAAAAGGCCATCTTCACTGCTAGGTGGCAAAAGGCTCACTGGAAGGACCCACCAACTCTTAAAACGATGTTCATGTTGCAGAAAAGGTGAGGGTCTTGAAGGGGGAGAGACGGAGGGAGAAGGGGAAAAGCTCTTCCACTTTTAAAGCCGAGTCAGGTGGAAGATTTCCTCCTTTGGGAACAGTGTTTTTAGCTCCACCATTCAGGCTGACTGGTTTGTCAGGAAGCTAGGCCCTAGTGCATTGTCACATCAGACAGTGCCAAGAGACTCATCAGTTCAGAATATTAGAAATGCCTGATCCACGCCAAGGCTACCACAGTCAGTCTTGGGTCCTGCTCCAGGTTCTTCAGAACCCTTGGAACACCCTCCTGCCCAATTCCTATTATTACAATCTCTACATCTATGGGATTCACATTGGAGAGCCCAGAGGCTTTGAAATTCCTCGCTCTGTGTGGCAAATAGCCTACTGACTGACTGACAGCTCCACTTGTGAGAAACCCTGGTTCTTCATCTCTTGCACTTTACTAACGGTTTGACGGGGCGTTTCCTACCAAGATCCGAATGCCTGACTAGCAGCGCGATCTTCCCGAAGGACACATCCACTTCACTGTCAGGAAGTGGCTTGACTTGAAGATGACAGAACTTTTTTCCTGTTGGCAATGAAGTCTGCTGCTGCTCCAGGCATGAAAGTACCCAGGTACACCTCCAACCAAAAGAATCTGATCTCACATGAATCAAAAGGAGAAACTGGCACACACAACATTATCTGGACTTCCAACAAAAGCCTCGAGATCACAATGTTTAGACGTCTTGTGTACTGGTTAAGCAATACGGCACACCAGGCTAACATACCTTTGAGTTATCAGGTCCCCTTGGCTGACGAAGGACTGTTAGGCGAGGAGCACTGGCATCATCCACATTAATGCTCTTCAGACGGTTAACAAGTCTGTCAGGACGTGGAGCAGCAACAGCCTTAGCACCTTCACTGTAGGAGAAAATAAAGCCAGTTACCTGGAGTAGCCATCAAACCCTTGCTAACGTGTGCTTGAGAATACTCTTGCTAACTGTTGCTGGGTTAAGCATTCTACAAGTGGCCGTTGTCCTCTCAGGTGCCCAAAGCCTGACTAGGAACCCACAGGCCAACTAGTTCTCACTCCAATACAAGGTTATTTTCTCACTTGTTTTGCTTGTGGAGGTTCTCATGGCTGTAAAAGCCTTAGGTACTTAGCTACCAGAGTAAAAGGCCTTTTAAAAACCAAATGAATGGTTTAAAAAACTCAAAACTGGAGCAGGTTGTTCAGCTAAAAACCTCTATCCTGGAGGTCAGCATGGTTATCCTGCATGTCATTTGCCCACGCTGCATTCCCCACCCCCATACATTTTTCTTCCATTTCTCCACTCTCTAGCCACTTCAAGCAAAAGCACTTCTTTCCCAAATTAATGCGTGCTTCCTTGAGAAGGACCCAAAGTGAACGCGTGTCATTTGACACCTAGTCTATGGAGCTACCGGACAGCAAGTGGAAAGGGGTTGAACACCACATGCAGCACGTTCAGCAGTTACAGCGAGTTTGTTGAATAACAGCAAATATGCATGTATCTATATATTAGGCTAGTGATATTATTCACTGGCGTAACTGGTAGGTGGCTGCTTCCTGCACTATGAAACCTATCATGTAGGTGTGTGGACAGCAGCATTTCCTGCTCATTGGTGTAGGAATTCTTTGTACATGACAAAGAGCAAATTAAAGGAAGAAAAATAAATACTTGGGTTTTTTGCTGTTATTCAGCAAACTCACTGTAACTGTTGAATGTGCTGCATGTGTTCATCAACCTCTTTCCACTCGCTGTCAGGTAGCTCCATAGGAGTAGGTGTCAAATAACACTTTCACTTTGGGTCCTTCGAGGCAGCACACGTTAATTATTCAACAACAAATATATAATTCCAACCATGATTCAAGAGCTAGGAGTCTGGCACAGCAAGTCACAGTCTGTTCCTTTAAAGACTGCCTGGTCCTATTTCATCCTTTACTTTGCTATTTGTTCACCTTCACGTTTATCACGTAAAAAGAATTCCTACACCAATGAGCAGGAAATGCTGCTGTCCTCACACCTACACGATAGGTTTCATAATGCAGGAAGCAGCCACTTACTAGTTATGCCAGTAAAGAGCATCACTAGCCTAATTTGCTTTTACACAATGCCTTCTTATAACCAGGAAAGCATGGGCATTTTGTTACCGCTGTAGAGATTGACTACTTAAAACTGTTCTCAGTTACACCAGGTAATTTCAGGTCCTCACCAGACTCGCCACACGTTACAGGCACTGCATTTCCCTGTGCGCTGATTCAGGATCACAGAGAACTCCACTTCATCCCCAGCCTGTAGCTCCACACCATCTTGAACTTCTTTGACATGAAAAAACAGCTTTTTGCTGTCACCAACTTCATAGTTAATGAAGCCAAACTGAAAGAGAATTCACATTAATTCACATGACTTGAAGTGTACTAGCATATTCACTTATAACAACATATAAACAAAACAGGGCTGTAGAGGGATAGAAAATATGGGCAACGTTTAAAAATAAAATAATTCCTAGCACACTTCCCAATCATATTTCGACGCTTCTGGAAAAACAGATTTGTGAAAGCTGCCACGGCCTGGTGCATTTGGAAGTCAGGCCCTTCACAAACGGCCTTCGTGTGGGCTTGGAATCCTAAATCAAATACATCCATCTTTGAACATGCTGGCCTAATGCTGACCATACTCTCAACTTTCTGCAGGAGACATGTCACACATGAGCCTGTGTCCAATTCCAATCATTCCTTATCGAAAGGCACAAAGAAGAAACAAGAGGTCCAAAGGCGAGACAAGGGACATATCTAACATGCGTGGTATAAAATTCCTGTTCGCACAAGAAAAATGGGAACACCCAGTAAAATAAGCCAAGTCTGCTGCCCGTGCTCCCGCCTCCCAGATTTTGTATGCATCTTGGGACAGTTAATTCCCCACTGTTTACACCTTTCTCCAGTTCAAATTTAGCAAAGGTTATACACCAGCTGACCTGAAGAGATTAGTCCTCCTACTTCCAAAACCCGTAACTGCTCAGTGACAGGAATTTCTCTCTTAGCCAAAGCACACATTTGTTTACCTCTGTCCACTATAGGACAAGCAGCAGAAACAAATTTAAAAAGTTGACTAATTACACCATTTGTTCCCATTTGGAACTGTAATAACTGTATTTCTCCAAGACAGAGGCTGCCCTCCCCCTAGAGTCAGCCAGTCGCGTAGGGAATTTTCGACCATTGTACCATCCTCGTCACTTGAGCCCCGTAGCAAGACATCACAGAACGTTGGATTTAACGGCACTTTGGAGTTGGATTCACCAAGAGCAAAAAAGTGGGACCTCGTGGCTCCTGCGTAGGGGAACTATGACTGGGCCTATGGTATGCATATCCTTTATCCCCTATACATTTTTCCTTTTTTAAATTCAAATCTCAACAGTATTTCAGCTTCATACAATGTTAAAACCAGGTTTCTATCTGACTCTTACCAATGCAGGCAATTTGATAGATACTTAAGTCTTGTCTGAAGGAAAGCATTACACGAACCTGATCTTTCACACACTCCACAGTGGCCCTCCGGAAAGGTGCAATGTTCACAGCCATTGTCTGCCCGTTCTGACCAAGGACGCAGAGCTGGAACTTGACCGTTTCACCCTTCTGCAGGCAGTCACCCTTGTTTGCCATCCCAACGATTCCAAATGGATAAAACTCTCCTTTCATCTCCCCTAGTGGAGAGAAAGCAGAACAAGCTCAATTAAATTAAGACACATCAAGTGCAAAGACCAGACTCATTAAAACTGAATCTTAACCACACAACCGTTAGAAAACACCAGGTAAGAGTTGCTGCTTACCATCCTCCATGACCTCAATCATTCCCTGGTATTCAGTTTGTGTAGGGTCTACACTTCTGAGAGGACGAATTACTTTACCCGAGTAAACAGTTGGATCAGCTTCCTCAGTGATACCATTCACTGCAAGTCAAGAACTGAGCTGTTACATTTGTTCTGTCCAGTGCTTTTGCACAGAAGCTTTATGTCTCCACCCCGCCAGTCTGCCACCCCCCAGCAACTCAACCAAAACAGCTGCTCTTTAAAATTTAGCAGCAAGTTTGAAACACTGTATTCCGCAGGGGACAGACAAGTGCCAGCCAAGAATCCAGAAGTTTCTGGCATCTGGACAGCAATTCAGAAGCCAAAGGATTCTTACTCTTGTCTAGTGCGGGCCAACCTTTTCAGCAGGTGTGCCATGAAATAGCCCCACCCCGCTCCCCAAGTGCCACTCCAATCCCCTTCCTCTGCCCAGTCTCCTGCTCTGCCTTCCGCTTCTGTGTTGCCTGTCCCCTCACCTGATCAGTCGTGTGCTACATGGGGGCTGCCCGTGTCACTTGTGGCACTCATGCCACAGGTTGGCCACACCTGCTCTACCCCCTGGGAGTCTAATTGGGAGAGTGAGCGCAAGTTGTAAGCATGTCCTGAAGCATTCCAAACACTTCCACTGCAGCCAAGCAACGCAAACTCCACAGCAGGACAACAACTGAAACTCTGCAAATGGTGTCTGAAGCAGTATTCAGTGTTTTTACTTTAGTTCTCTTGGAAACTTCACAGCAAAGTCCCAGTTACAGCTCATTCAAGAGCAGTGGAATTACAGGCCCAATAAATTCATCAGGAGCAAAGGCACTTTTGATCCAAGCAGACCACAACTGTGCTCATCCACTCCAAAAACTGTTCAGGGAGAAGTTCACAATTAGTCTTACCTGCATGTGTTTTGTTCACCTTTTCTGCACTGACTTTGTTTCCTTTGCCTTTTGATAAGCTATACTCGACTGCATCCCCAAGTTCCAGACTATCAATGTCACCACAGAATTCACTGCAGGGAAGAAGTTACATGTGTTTTACTTTAGCCGCGTGCCAACGTAACAACTCTGCCCGCTCAGCATCCATGCTGAATAACCAGGGCCTCTGTTCCACTTATCCTACTCTTAATTACTGACTAGTATTTTTAAGAGATTACGATTTGGATGCAAGGGCTTGCTCGGTGCTGTGGCAATGCTAAATAAAATGCTATTTTTCTCCTGCAGCAATTCATCTATGAATCTATTCACTGGAGTGGAGTACAACATGCTTTCCATCAAAGCCAGCATCAGCAGTCAAGGTTATGGATTACTAGCCCATTTGAGCAAAATCCATACCCCAAGTAATTAAAAAAAAATAATGATAAATGCACGGTAAGTTTCTAACGCTTATCCATGAGGTCTTAAGTTAGCATAGCTGAAAAAAACTGCACGCGCACAGAGGATAACACGCCAAACAGCCACTGTATTAAAAAGAATGCTCCCAACCCCAAGAGCTTTTCTATTCCCCTGAAGTGACTTTCGCCTTTCTGGCGAGTTCAAACGTTCTGTTTTTGGAAACTAAACCAAGTCACGTTACTGTTCTAGTGTCCTACACTTCTCATGGCATCAATCAGCTGAAGAGAAGCGATTCAGAAAAGTAACAGGTCTTTCCTATTACTGTTAAGGGACAACCTCTCTAAGTGACGCAAGTGTATCTTTGTACCAGGAAAGTCCTTGTCTACCTAAGCCACGACTAACAAAACAATGCAAACGTACAGTCCTCTAGTAGCACGAATCTTGGAACACCCAAGTGGCTCATAATAGTAAAGCCTGCTGTGGCCCTATCAAAAATGGTTACACCAAGCCACTTTTTCAGATGCATGGACCCGTGCCCACGAAGTGTAGAGAACAGGTCAACACATCTGCACAGAAGCAGACACTCACCTGTAATGGAAGAAGATCTCCTTATCGTGATTGGCTGTTTCAATAAACCCGAAGTTATCTTTCAGGGCTGCCACATACCCCACGAGCCTCTTGGAGCTGTAGTTGCGACCAAGCATTCTGACAGAAACAGCTGTCTGCAGACCAGTTCTCTTCACTTCACAGACACTGAACTCGACCTGTTAGAGGGAGGTTTCTCAAAAGCCAGGCAGACAAATGCAAGTTTTTCCTGGGTGATATAATGAACATTCCTCCTCCTTCAGGATGTCTCTATCTCAGATGTCTGCCCAAACATTATAAAAATTCCCCCGACCCCTTGTTCCATTCAAAACAGCGAGCTCAGGAGAGGCCAAGGGGTGGCATGCGGTGTCAGTTCCCTTGGCCCTTCCAAATAAGGCAGGGGCAGGGGCAGCAGCTCTCCCCCACTGTTTACCTCTGGCCAGTAACTGCCTCCATCTTCAAAGGAGTTTAAGGGCCACAATTCAGCCCACTGCAGTTCAAGCATTTTGGGGGACTCCCTGCCCCGCCCACCCAGAAGCAGCTCCCTACTGTACATGGGCTGCCTTCTAGGTCATTGCTCCCTCTCTACCCGTCTCCCCCCACTTCACACAAACAGCCTGTCACAGTTGCAGCAAAGCTCACAGTAAGCAGCCCACAAAAAGAGACCGACTGAACATATGTAAGTATTATTGCCTTATCTCCTATCTGAGGATTCGTAGATCCTTCCACATCCTTGGCCTGGTAAGGAATAGTCAGTTTTACTCCACAGTCATCATAAGCAATTACTCCCTCTTCCGCTTCCTAAAGACAAACAGCACAAATCAGTTATGAAAAGGGACACAAATTACCTTTTTCCTCAACTTTACACCAGTTAATGTAAAAACAAAATTCCACAAGATCCGTCCACTAACTAAATTACCCTCATCATTCAAAACCTTAGAGGAAGAGCCCAAATGGAGTAATTCAAATAACCAACTCCATTTTTACCAAGGCAGCTCTTTTTTCTTCAAATTGACAAGTGTATTGCTATTCTGAAACGTCAACGGAAAGCTTTTTAAAGGCGCACACTGTTTAAAACTGCACAAGTAAGTGACACTCAAAAGGTCTTTGCTTTAGCCATAGACTTTATTTCAGGAGATTCCAGTACCCTGAACAGCAGCAGCTACCTAGCAGTTTCACCTGAGGCTCCTAAACACTAACCTCAACCATTACCATACTATATATGTTGTGCCTTCCTTACTCGAGTTTCAGTCAAATACCATTTTAGCTAGACATTTTTTATTAGTTATGCAGATTTATCGCTCATAAACTGGCTAGTATATCCAGAACCAAGGCTCCAGTTTCTACACGTTTTCAACCCTCCAAAACCACAAAAACTAATTTTACGTCTACAAAACCAGCATTACCTTTTCTTTGCCTTTATTTGGGCTAGTGGCTTTGGCAGAAGTGGCTTCTTTTTCTATGGTGCCCACAAAACGGTGATCTGACTGTGTGTGGAATGAAACTGTGCCCTTAGGAAGCTTTTTAATCCTTATAGCATGATTTCTTTGGGCAGACAGCATGTCCTAAAGAACAAATTCACAGTAGCTTAGAGAATGCGTGGGTACTGACATTTAAAAACATCCATTATTTTTAGAACAGGTAATTTTACTCACAGGGACAACAGTAAACTCTACTTCATCCGAAATGTGGAGCTGGTTTCCATCCATGATTTCACTGAAGTGAAAGAACATGCGGGCATCCCGGTCAACACACTTAATGAAACCAAAGCCATCTCTCATTGCTGCAATCACACCCTGGGGACAGACAAATACATGGTTCAAGCCAGTGAAAGGCAGCTGCATGCGTAGTGCCTCTTGTGCACAGACTAAGCCCTACAGAGATAATATGTGCATGTATTCCCTTACAAATTGTAGTACTCAAACCAAAGGGCAGAAGGCATTGTGAAGTGACCCACCTAATTTGCCACTTCAAAGTCTCTGAAGATGAAGGAAAGGTAAGTACAGACCTACACACCAGTCAGAAGAACTACAATTCAAGTCATCTTTCTTCTTTTCTCCAACTCCCAGCTACAGAACAGCA